TTGAAGATACAAACCCTCCCTCCCTCGATTTTGTTCTTCTTCCATCTCTGTCATCTTTCCTTCTTTCTCTATTGCATGCTTGCACTCACCTGCCCGGCACTTCAAATGCGAACAATCCTCCAGCTTGCCTTTGCTTGGGTATCTTGACGAGAACTTGATTCTTGCTCAATACTCTGGCAATCGGGATTTTGGAATGCACTTGCTTTGTAGCGCTGACAGCTTTCTTGACAACTTCGGCAACTTTCACTCTGAGTTTGGTCGAACTCTGAGATTTCGCAGCTGGTTTTGTCGATGCTGTCTTGACATCTTCCTTCTTCGCTTCTTCCTTCTTCACTTCATTCGATAGGTGCTCAACATCACTCAGCACATGCTGTATGGTACTCTGCACAGCTGCCAGCTTCTTCTCAACGACACCAGGGGCGTTGCTGCTTCCCTCCGGTGCCTTGGAAGCTTTGGGTGTGGACTTGGAAACTTCCTCCAGCAAGGTTTTCTTCGCCGCCTTCTCTCCTCCTTCCGCTCCAGCCCTCGCACTCGTTTCAACATGTTTATAGACTGCCGACGGGCTCGGGTTCTGCGGCCATTTCGGCTCTGAATTCTTCAACTGCGGCCAGGCGAAGGAAGGTTTCTGCTCGCTAAGAAGGTCGCAGGAGACCAGGGAGGCAAGGGAGAGGAGAAAAAGAGAGGCTCTGACAGGGTTCAGCATCGTGTTTGATGTGCCAGCAACTACGCGATTGAACGAAGAATTCCAGGTGAGAGTGTCAGAAACTGAAAGAAGTAGAGGAGATGGGTAGGGGAGAGGAGAGAAGGAGAGAAGAGAGGAGGAGAGAAGAGAGGAGGAGAAGAGGAGAGGAGAAGAGGAGCCAAGTAGAGGATGAGAGGTAGAGAAGCGAAATAGGGGATGAGAAGAGGAGAGGAGAGGAGAGGAGAGGAGAGGGGAGGAGAGGGGAGGGGAGGGGAGGAGAGGAAACAAGTAGAAGATGAGGATGACTCTGAGTCTTCACCTCTTCACTGAGATCTTCTTCCGCTTCTCCTCCCTCCACTCACTCCACCACCATTGACGCAAGGTCTCGCCGCCTTGGGGTCTATTTCGGGTCCCATCAACCTAAAAAACGTCAAACAAGAACACGGGCCCGCCTCACCACTTAAAAACCCTGCCAGAGACTCATGATGAACTCAGTCGGAACAGTTCCGGCCCGCGATCCGATGATCCGGCCGGGCCGCCGCCGGCGGGCCCGGGGAGGCTCTTGTGCGGTCCGACTGTACTCTTGTCAAGTTCAGAAGTTCCTACTCGCCAACCTGTCCGACGGTCTGATCAAGTGTCGTCACTGTTCTAAGACGGGGCGCCGAGACGGGGCGCTGAGTCATCCCGGCCTCTTGACTCGGAGTTCGGAATAGAAAGGGGCCGAGCAGCGACTCCTGGGGCCTAAAAGAGCAGAAAGGAGAAGAAAGAAGGAGGAGCAAGAGAAAGAGCTGAAGGCAGGTCGCTTCTCAGGTTGTATTATTCACAGTGACTTCACTGTCTCCTGACTTCAAATTCAATCCTTGAGCAACAAGAATCAGATCGACTCTGGCTCTTTCAAGCTCGTCTACAAGGTTCAATGGCAGCAGCTACGGTATAGCTGGCGTGACGTGAACAATAGGACGACAAGGAGGTGAAAATCTTCCAGCAGCTGGGCCGTAGCCCGACCACGCTCCAGCTCCTTGTTATTACAGTCAAGCCAGACTGTGGGGACTTGTGTCTGGTGACGGAGTTTGCGTCCATGGGTTCCCTGGATGATGGGATCGTGGCTGACGGCGAGCCGATCGGTCTGCTGGTGCAGCTGCAGGCGGCAAGGCAGAACTGCGACGGGATACTTCAGCTGTTGCTGCATCAAGTCGTTCATCGCTACCTCGCAGACAGGAACGTGCTCGCCTTCAACCTCCATGCTCAAGACCACCATGGCCGATAGCGGGTACGGACAGAGCCGAGGAAGAGGAAGAGGAGGAGAAGAAAGAGGAGGAGGAGGAGGAGGAGAAAGAGGAGGAGGAGGAGAGGAGGAAGCGAAGAGGAGGAGGAGGAGGAGGAAGCGGAAAAGGAGGAGGAGGA